ATTTTACTATAGCCAGTATCCATTTTAAATAATTATGTCGTAATAAAATAAAATAAAATAGCTAAATAACTATAAAACCTTACTAAGGTTAGTAGCCTAGGCTASWACCTTACTAATTGTCTAAGGTTACCTTAGTCCTACACATTTAATGGGTATTAAAAAAATTGTACTTACTTGTTTTTCTAATATTGGTGAAGTTATTATCGTATCATTTTCATTGAATATACTCATAATAATTTCCATATCAGAATCTAAATTGTGAAAATATGTAATKGATATGCAACTTTGTTTTTTAATTGGCTTCCAATGAACCTCGAGAAATKTCTGATGAACTTCATCTCTAGCCGAGTATGGATAATAATGTCTTTCATATTTATATTCTAATGTTTTAATACATTCATTTAGGACGTATTCTAGAAATAAAACATTGTATTTAAAAAAGTCTTTGTGTATTTAACATGTAATATATGTCACAAGTTTCAAGTACCCGTAACGGGTCACAAATAATATATTTAAATTACAAGAAAATAACTCAATTTTCCATCCTTTGATTAAATATCAAATTCTTTTAATTTTTTTTCTTCTATAAATTGAGTTTCCAGAGACATTCAAAATAATATAATAACATACATTAAAAGTAGGTATACTCCACATCTCCGTGTACCCATGAGACCACGGCCCACGAATGATATTAAATTAAAACAAAATAACTAAAGTCATTATTCTTCGTTTAAATATTTAATTTCATTAAAATTTGAATTTAAAATACATTGTTAAAAATATATATCTTTGTTCTTTAGTATTTTAAAATACTAATATTTCTCACATTTTCTAGTTAATATTACCTGTAAAAATCATATTAGGACTACTAGGAGTAACAGCGTCAAAATTGCATTCTTCTCCTATAAAAATTATACATTATTAATCATGTCATGCTTTAACGATATGATGTATAAAATAATGACTTTTCTTAATATAGTAAATTGTATTATTTCATTCACTAAAAAATATTTAATTTTAAATAAATATTAAATATTACCTGTAGGTCCAATAATTGATTGTTCCCAGTAATTTGAATCAAAATAAACGTTCATACGACTATTATTTTGAATATATCCATATTTGTAAAACTCGGCGATATTTATTTGTAAGACATTATCTGAGGTTGAATTTCTTTCCCCAATTATTTTGTCTATTGACAATGGTATTCCGATGGCATTTGTTCTTGAATGTACTTCRATCGAACAGAGACTTCCTCTAATTATTTGGTGTTCGGGACAATTTAATGCAGGAGTCCCTAATTTATTTTAACATAATATGATAAAATAAAAAAATCCACAAAGATTTGCAAAATAATAGTTAATTTGACCAACCAAGGTTATTCACTTATGGTACCAATGTCACTTATAATCTTCTGTAATAAAATAATAACACTCTAGCAACTATATTTATCTGTATGATTCTAAAATCTAAATTATGGGTACCTATATGTATTATTATCTAATTAATGCAGTTAGTTAATTTAGAAAATTTCAGGGGCTTTAAAAATTGTTCTAAAATATGGTTCAAGGCAAAATCGTCCCGTTTTTTTCCTTCTCGCCATTTGAACGGCCTTACAATTGAATATCTTGTAATACTTTTTTTATTTTTTAGTCCAAATAATACAAAAACATAATAATGTATTTAATATTGTGAGTGGAATTGTTTAGAATGTAGTTTAATGATGGACACGAAAAGCTAGTCTAGAGTCGTTTTAAAACAAGAGTGGAATAAAAACAAGTGTTAGATGGGATTGTCTCAGGGGCATAAAGCTCCGACGGCTGCAGATGTGCCCAACATACTCTGCGGTCCCCTTTTCGAAGATCTACCGGCAGACGACAAGGAGAGGTTGACGATTCTCTGCGACGCCGAAGAGACCTTCAGACTCTTTTACAAGATGGTCGAAAGCATCCTGACCGCCAAGGAAGAAGAGGAGAGGGCTCAACAGGCCGCAGAAGCTGAGTGAGAGCGGCCACCACCGTACGAGCCYCTWAAGCGGCGGGCTAAGGCCGGCTTGAGAAGAGTTTTTCAGCACGAGATGTCTAGGATGGCTGGCTTATGCCGGTCCGCGAAGAGGCAACGGTACGCGATGTCTAGGGTGGCGGACTTGG